TAACAGTTCTAAATTTGCTCCTGAGGGTATGAAACCCCGGATTATGTATTATATGATTGGTTTTGAGGTTACGCACATGCTAGGTGATGGGCGTGTAGGCGTGCACCGTAGAAATTATGACTTGGTAAATTTCATGAAACTGTGTAGTTGAATAATCTGTTGAAATCCGTATATTTTTCACGTATTAGAGAAATCAAACTATAAATCATGTTTAAACCATGTGTTGACACTGTAGGGACCCACAAAGGTCATGTACATGTTGAATTATCTGCTAAACTATTATTTCATACTCAGTCACGATTTTTACTCGTATATTACATCTTAGTCTCTCTTATTCATTATTGATGCACCATATCATTGTTGTTGGGCTGCTTATCATGATTTCTAAGAGCCCGAGAAACTGGAGAGGTTGATGACTGAGTGAGGTCGAGGGCCTAATTATGAGGATATTTATGGGATCGGGTTGCACGCCGCAACATGTTTCATTAATTTATGCCATGATTGGCTTGTTATAGCGCTTGGGCTGAAGAAGCCCCTCCGGAGTCTGTACACACCCCCAGTGAGCGCAGGTTCCTACTGAGTGCGAGTGCCGAGTGGTGAGTGATTGAGAGGAATGAGTGACTGTGAGGAAAGAGTGGCTATGAGGTTAGAGTGAATGGGAGAACTAAGTGACTGTTACTCGGAGAGGATGCATTGATTTCATTATTGCTGTATTTCAACTGTCATATATCACTTTTTTGGAAATTTTTGAAAGACATTATTTTCTGTTTCAGTCGAAGTTGATATGAAATTACTTTGAAATTTTAAATGTTGAACTTGAGAGCATGCCTACCCTTTTTATGTTGAAAATTATCGTATTTGGACTTAACTGTGAAGCTCGTCACTACTTTCAGTTCTTATTTATTATTGTTACTTACTGAGTTGGTTGTACTCATACTACACCCTGCACTTTGTGTGCAGATCCAGGTGATCCCGGACGCAGTGGGTGTTGATTCCTTCGCACAGTAGATTTTTCGGAGATTCCGAGGTCGCTACCGTGTTTTCACAGACCTTGTCTCTCCTTCCCTATCTTCTTGTTTACTGTATTTGGTTTCAGACTATTATAGACCGTGTTTTCCAGACTTGTGATGTATAGATACTCATGTACTCAGTAACACCAGATTTTGGGAGTGTACTTATATCCAGTATTTGTTGGATTTTCTCTAAAAATTAAATATTATGTTTTCCGTATTTAAAAAAAATTGTGGGTTATTGATGTTGTCGGCTTGCCTAGTATTGATATTGGCATAATCATGACAGATTAGATTTCGGATCGTGACAGTTCCTAGTTGGCAGAATAAGGTCTTGCAATTAAAAATCATGTATCACCAAATAGAATTGGTGAATGTGATTGGGAGACGGGTGCCAAGTCACCTCTTTTAGGACTACTACGTATGAGCATAAAATTTGCAAGATAATTTAGGATTATAATTTTTCATATACTTCAAAGGAAACATAAAATTAGAAGAAGACAACAAGTGGAAAATTTAATTCCAAGATTTGCAAAAGCCATAAAAAAGACGGAATCAATTACCTTACATTTCTTGCTCCTCCTCTTTCGTTTTTTCTCTTTCCTTATTTTCTTTTTATTCTTTTTTTTCCTCCTTATTTCCTTTTCCTTTCTTTCTTTGTACAAAATTTTGTTACCTTACATTTCTTTTCTTTTCTTTTCTTCTCCTCCCATCAATACCATTTAATCAATAGATGAATCCCCCTATTTCTCTTCCTAATTTTATGTAAGATTCTAAAATCATCTTCTTTCTCTCGTTTTAAAAATATCATGCCATTTTGAAATGTCCACCACTCCTTTTCTATAAATTTAATAAAGAGACTACAGTCTTTGTTAATTTTTTCACGGAAGTAACAGTATGTGTCATCAAAAGGATCAAGAACTCTACTAATACATCAATAAGAAAGTCTAAAAGAAAAATCAAGCACCTGTTTTTCCAAACTCATTTTTGTCAAACCGTGCTCTCTATGTTCCGTCTGCGAAAGCTCCAATACTTTTCCATGCTTACAGGCTAGGGAAGCTTCTTGTTCTCTAGAAATATGTTTGAGTTCCTCTCCTGTTGGCCATTAATGGATGTAGAAAGAACTGTATTTCTATTACTATTGATCATCACGATCTCTCCTCTTTTGTTGGACGATTGAACTTTAACTCCCAAACCGTAGAACAATGGTTTCTCTTGCATGTTCAATATTCTGAATTTTTCTTTGTTGGATTGGATGTATGTGTTATCTTAGTTTGTACTGAGTTATATGAAGAGGAAAATGGTAAAAGATTGATTGTGAAGAGAAAAAGTAGCGAAAGATTGATTGTACTTTAATTGCCATTGTTGTAACTTCCCACTACTTAACAGGCATTATTTCAGATTGCACCGTTACTTTAATTTATTAATTTATTAATTACTGAAACGGTTCCACTCTTTTAGAAAGTGGAGGATTTTAAAAGCATAAATGGGAAAAAATAAAGGGAAAAAGCAAAAAATCTGGAAAAAAGATAAATAGCAATTCTCATCTACCAAACGTGCCACATGCTCTACTATTCCCTCAATTATATATATATATATTAGTTTATTTCAAAGTCCTAAATATTAGGAAAATAAAAAGACCTAACTATTAGGAAATAATTAAATTACTATTTTGTCTAGTGTGAAATCTATCTTTAAAGGGCAAAAAAGACGAACGATATTTCGCTAAGGGCTTTCGTGCTTTTAATATAGTATAGATATAGATATAGATAATGCAACAATGGAGTTGCACTAAATCTTAATCTTCGTCGTTGTCACGGCTTGCTTGGTTAACTTTGTTATCACGGTTTCACTAATGTAGCCTTACTTAGAGCCTGTTTGGTCTAAGCCGGAGGCCAAAAGTACTTTTATTCCCCAAAATAATTACTTTTTAAAAAATTTGAGTTCTTTGGCCAATACAGAGAAAACTTTTGGCCAGCAGAAGAAGCAGAAAATTCTAGCTTCTTCCAAGATGCAGAAGCAGAAGTAGAAAATTAATTTATTCATGACAAAACTATCCTCACCATAAATTTATATTTTTCAAATTATCCCTTACTAATTTAAGTTTTTTCTTTTTATTTTTGTTTCTAGTTTTTACCATTCTATTAAAATTAACGATATTATATATATGAATCATATTGTAACTTTCCAAATTCTTTATTGACTTTTATTATTTTTGATTTTTTTTTCTTTGTGTAATGTCTTGTAACTTTTCAAATTATCCTCTTCTTTTTTCACACTAAAGCAAATTATCTACATCCTTCTTTAAATTATTTTAAACATACTTAACTATTTATTTTGTGATTTATTTTATATATTTAAAATTATTTCTATTTTATGCTCAATGCCATCTTTCAATTTTGACACTCAGAATTATCAAGTTACAACTACCATGGCTATACATAATTTCATCCGACGACATTCTTCTACCGATAAAAAATTCAACTATTATGTTAATGAAGACATTATTGCAGAGATTGATGAAGGAGATGAGCCTTCTGATATTCCTTTCGTAATGCGAGGCAAGTCTTCTACTAATATAGAGGCGTTGTGTGATAGAAGTAGAGGTGAAATTGTTGAGAAATATTATCATGTATGAGTGACTTTACTTATTATTTCATGATAGATTATCAATATATAGTAATTTGCGGATAGACTTCTAATTTATACTGAATGATGTATTTTAGTTATTCAAATCATCATATAACAAAAAGTAATTATACTAGATAATATCATATGCTTTGGTATAACTATATATGTAAAATTGATTTAAATTTGTAATATGTTTGTTTATTTTATATTTTATATTTTAATTAAATAAAATAAAATAATACAATAAATATTTAAGTTTATTTTTCTATTTAAAAGTATTATAAGACTTTGGTACTATCCTTTTTGGTAATTTGGCGCTCAAAAGTACTTTTTAAAAAGATTGGCCAAACACAATTTGTTTACCAAATGTTACAAAAAATACTTCTTAAATGAATTGGCCAAACACAAATAGTTTTTTTTCAAAAGTACTTCTACAACAAAATACTTCTGGAAAAAAAAATACTTTCCAAAATAAACAGATTTTGACAGCTTGGTCAAACGGGCTCTTAGTGATAGTAAAAACAGAGGTATTGAATTGAATTTAAGTATGTTGAAAAAGAGGTCATAATCCAACGTACTCATATTAATATAGGTAAAAAACGGGTCATGAAAAAATCGTGTTAATATCCATATTATATACTAGAACCAAAAAGGGGAAAAAAAGCATTAGGATAGATGTAGACAATAACTAATTCTAATCAATTATGACCCGTCATTTAAATAGTCAAAAGTGGAATCGGGATTCAAGTAAAAAATTAAATGCTACTAGTATATATCATCAATGTACAGATTGAGGAATAGATCAAATTAATGGAAGGGCAAGTTACAGATACTTTGTTTAATAAGTTACATACAAATTAATTCTTAATTTGACACGCATTTCAAATGATAGATTTAATAAAAGGGCAAGTTAAGTGATCCTCTGCGAAGGAGTGAAGGACAGACTTATCATTTAGAGTTGCGACACAAAAAACAAATTATATTCATCTAAACCTAAAGAAAATTGACATTGGAGTCCAGTCGAATGATTTATGAACAATGAATTTGTACTCTAAGCATGACTAGCCAACTACCACAAAATAGAGTACATGATGATTATGGTTACGTAACTCAATAAAGAGTTTGAAAAAAAAAAGTAGTTTGTTGAGTTAGAACAAATTGACCTAAAACTACTATAATTTGTCTGACCTTTTAATTTTGTTAAACAATTTGGTATTCCATATATGATATCTACATCATGACTCAACTTGCTCGGTTTTAATATTACACGATTCTTATAGTAAATTTATTTTAGTGTATTGCAATATTGACATCTCAAATTTCAATGTTGCTCTAACAAATAAATATTAAGAAAGCAAATGAAAGAGCAATTTTAGGGGAATAACTTTCCAAGAATATAGCTCAAAGATCTCCTTAGAGCTATATAAAAAAGCAGTGGATGCACAGGGTATCCTGTATTCACACATGGTTCGGAGAAGGGCCGTACTCCAAATGTGTGATGTAGATAATTTACCCTAATACAAGCACTAGTAGTTGCTTTCACGGCTCGAACCTGTGACTTATAGGTTACACGAAAACAAGTTTACCGTGCTTAAAACTATATATTGTTATATATAGTGATCTACCACAAAACTATACATCACATTATTATAAGGTTCTACAAAGACTTAAACGTATTATGTGTAGGTGGCATCACCAATCACTTCTTATTCTCATCCTGCCGATATGCTTTTACTGAAGCATAACCTTGACCAACAACTGCTTAAAAATCCTTTCCTTTTCCTGCATTATATACAAAAACAAACATGTCTTATTTTAAGTGGGTGGGTGGACGGACAGGTGTTTCTTTACTGTCACAATAATAATAAATGCTAAAACAAACATAATCTGATCAGTGATCCAGTATCTTAATTCTTAACAACTACTACTTCTCTTTTAATGCAATCTACATACTTTGCAAAGCTTCTAACAATGATCAAATGAAATATGATCATGTTTTAAATAAAGTAAAATCGACTAACGCTTTCCATTAGAGACAAACACACAAAACTGGTTTTCTTGGATCTAAACGGTTCCATTCCTTGTTCTGTTTCTGTTCTGTTCTGCATGGAAGCAGGATTTCCCAGGAGCGGCTCAACAAGATTGGAGACCTAAAGCAAAAATGTAATAGGAAGCCTTTTTTGAAACAATGTATATGTATATATATATATTTGAAGTATATTTTTTCTAGCTTTTTGAGATGTAAAGTTATTAATAATTTCTTTATAGCCCATTTAATCTCTCCTAAGATATTTTTTGATCATAGAAAATAAAACCATGTTCAAGAAGTTGAAAATATGATATTGAAAATAAAAGAGACCCTAGAAGTTTATTACACATTTTCTAGTGACAAATGTGAAAAGGAGAAGAATAATGTAGGTATTTCATTAATAATGTCAATAGTAAAATGTAAATAACCCAAAATCTTATATTTAGGTAGGAGTTTAGGGGGAGTGATTCTCTTCTCTAATTTTTGCGCAAATGGTTATATTAATAACAAACTAAAAGTTATTTTTACTTTTTTTATAAAATATTTTCCTTTTCTACTTTGAAATAATCAATATATTTTTTAAAAAGTTTACTCATAAATCTATTATTGGTAAAAGTTGGACTCTACTTCCAAGGATTATGCCGGGATGGATATGATCTAACCTACCTTAATTAGATATTTCAGGTTCGAGCCCTATGAATGATATCTTATTAGCGTGCGCTTTCACTTTAATTAAGCCTTATGCAGAGTGAATTCAAATTATTCGTGGTCGTGAAAAACCAAATACGGATAGAAAATAAAAATAAAACCAAATTTTAGGGCCTCTGAAATTTTGAGGCCCAAAGCTATTGCTTGAGCCTGTGGCCCCCCTGCCCATAATCATCCAAGTAGTGACCAGAGAATAAGTTCAAGAGAATGTCAAGTGTATTGAATATAATCTACTTTAAACTTTCTCTTTGATCTTTAAACTCGGATAAACCTATGGCAGGAACACTCCTAAGATTAGGGGACCAGGGGCGGAGGTAGCATGTAAGTACCGGTTTGACCGAACCCATTAGTTTTTGGCTCGGTTTCTGTATATATATTGAAAATTTTACTCCTAAAGATGTACAAATATCAAAATTTCGAACCAGTAACTCTAATAGTCAATGGGTTTAGACTTTAGTGGCATTTTGAGCCCATAAACTTCCAAATCCTCGGTCCGCCTTTATACATCCCAAGTCATTTTAGCAAATTCATCGTCTGTGATAGAACTAGTATTAAAATTTTCAAGCAGCGGCAGATTCAAACTTTAGATATTATGGATTATAAGTTGAGAGAACGAGTTTTGAAGTATATATTTAATTCTATCTATACTTATTTTCACAAATATATACAAAAATTGACCTTAGCATTGAGTTCTACTGAACCTGCGAACCCATGTTTGGATCCCCTTAGTAATATCAAGAAATATCCAGTTTGTTTGAGTAGAAAAATTAAGTAATGAAGATATATACCTGTTGCTGCTGTTGTTTCTGCTGTTAGTGCTGCTGCTAGAACTGCTGCCACTGCTTCTATTTCTGCTGCTGTTTGTCCTGCTACTACCACTCTCACTTGAACTAGAAAATCTCTTCTTCCACCAGTCTTTTTCCAAACTTTTTGAAGAGTTTTCAGACTCTTCAGGTTTAGGAGAAACTTTATTAGTTGTATTTGCTGAATTCTTCTTTTTCCTCTTTGATCTCAAAGGAACAGGAGAAACCATCTTGAGAAATAGCCCTCCATTGTCAATACTATTACTTCTCATCATCTTGGCTTTCTTAATTTGATCATTCTTCCTTATCTTGACCCTATGCTGCACAACTTGGTTTTTCTCCTTATTGATTAAGCAATTTACTTGAGTGGCTGTAGTGGGCTGCTCAACAAGATCCTTTAAAGAAAGCTCATAACAAGATTCAGGCATGTTCTTAACCATTTCCATTAGTTCCCATTGGCCTCTAGCTATGGCTTGAGCTCTAGAACTCGGCGAAAGTGACCGATAATTTATACTATGTTTAACTGGACTTATTGGAGGACTATTTTGCCATAAGGGTGGTGAAGAAGCACCAGATTCAACACCACCATCTTCATGTTCTTCCATTTCTTGAACTTTGAATTGAATCCCTTCTCCGCCATCATTTTTAGTCCAATTCCCATGCTTTTTTGATACTTGGAAACCAAAATTTAGAGGCTCCCAACTGTCATTGAGTGTTTGTTTTCTTGGATCAAACATGACTATTAGAAGGAGGAAATGAAGTGGAGAGAAAGAATGAAGATAGGAAGAAGTGGAAAAATCATGAAAGTGTATGTATGAAGGAGAGGAAGGTATGTGTCATTGATGTGTGTTTGGTCCATTTGTCACTTTCCTTTTAATAACAACAAAGCTTGGTGTGTGTCTCAATCTTTTGTTTGTAATGTTAGGTCCTTACTTTAACAAAGAAAAAATGGATTTAAAAAATTGAGGAGAGAGAAAGAGGTTGAAAATTAGTACCCTCAATGTAAAGTTGTCCAAATAAAGTAAAGTATGAGCTCGAAAGCAAATCAACAATAATATGAACCACATATTGCTCGAAATATATGATATTCTCTTACAGCGAAAATATCATGCTAGAAAAATTAAGCTTTGTTAGTGTTGTACATTGTGCAGGAGTAAATGTACTGCTGCATTTGATTGAGAGGGGATGAGAATGTAATGGCTTTCAAGATGGTTGGGTGTAGGGCCTCCTTACCTCCTGAATTTCCTCGTTTTTGTCTTGCATTGTGGAATTAATTATGGCTTTAGTCTCCTTTTTTTCTATGGCATTTAAAGAATCTCTTGTCTCTTGTCGTAGTGGTCTCACAACGTATCTTTCTAATGGAGAAATCATTGCTTAATATGTCAAAATATAATTAGTTTAAAGTAATACGCCTCTTCTTTGCTTAATGGATTAAGCTATCTCTAAAAAAAAAATATTGAGAAAGCTAACCTCGTTCCTTAAAATTTTAATAGCCCATATTTTTCTCCATGAATTCGAAATGTCTCTTCGGCCCAAACATAATGCATGTAATAGCCCATAAATAATTCATAATATACTGATCCACCCACGCCTTTTAACTCACGTTTTTTCCTATTGCACTCGATTCTCTCGAAACATTGGTTTCTTCTTAAATACAGCTTTTCCATTTTTACTCTTGCTCTCCATGTAAGTCAAAATTTTAGGAGGTTTTCGGATTTTTATTCATATTCAAGTCTATAATAGAGGAAAAGAAGTCTTTGAAGAAAAATATAAAGTTGAGGGCATCTCCAAATTCTATGAAATTAGTTGATAAATTAGTGAAATATAATCTTAGTTTCAGTAGGAATGCAAAATACCCCTATTGAAGGAATGCAAAGCACCCTTGTTGATAGAAGGACTCGTTCACATAGCGGGACTCCCAGCGATAAAGTAACGAGGTCACAAACTGCTTAGCGTGTAATTGTTAAAAAAGGCACAAGTTCAAAAAGAAAGATTAAAATGATGGGAAAGGATGTTGGGAGGGATAAGGGTAAAGGTTCTAAAAGAAAGGCTAAAAGGGATGGGGACGATATTCCATCAAAAAAGAGAAAAGTTCACGTTGATAAAAAATGTTTTATCTCATCTGATTTGAAGGTATTTTCTAATGATATAACTCTGACTTGTGTGCGCTTAATTTATTTTAGTATGCAGAAAATTTATCCAATATAGCAGTTATGTTCCAGATTTGTATATAAAATGTATCATTCTTTTTTCATTTTGTATATAATTTGTATCATTTTTCATTTTGTATATAATTTGTATCAAGTCAATAAGTAATGTGCAATTTGTATATAAAATGTATCATCTATCCACATGGTATATAAGTAATGTTTAAAGTGTATATTTGTGGTTGTTATGAAGCTTATATATATTTATATTTTTGTATTGTCTGCAGCTTTGGGATTACTATGTTCCTTTGGGTGATCATTATAGTACTCGTATCAATGTGCATACAAATTGCAGTATAGTGAAACATTTGAAAGATACTTTGGATGATCAACAGATTGAGATGTTTAGAAGAACATGTTTTGGTTATTTTGTGAACTTGCCCGAATTTTTTTATACAGAACCAACTTATCCATTCACTATTGCTTAGGGAAGTGGTGTCACCTAAAGATGAATTATGGATTAAAGTGAATAGCACAAAGTTGCGCTTTGGACTTGCAGAGTTTTGTATTATCACAGGTTAAAAGTGTAATGGTGATCCCAATAAGGATTATGAATATGTATAGTCGAGTTGGTTGATGGGATTATACTTTCCAAGCATGTCGAAAGTGTCTAAGAAATTATTAACTGACTGTTTCTTAAAAAAGATGTGAAAATCTGATGAGGGCGTATTAAAGATTGCAGTATTGTATTTCTTTCGCAGTTTCCTATTTTCTATTACGAATGATGATTTCATAACAAAGAATGATTTTCGGTTGGTTAAATCTGGTGATTTTGAGACTTTCCCTTGGGAATAAGTGCTTTGCAATGCTACGTTGGAGTCAATGAAAGATAAGATTCATAGTAGGAGAGAGATGTACCGATATGGTGGTTTGCCTTTGGCATTCCAGTGTTGGTTTTATGAATGCTGCCCCTATACTCACAAAAACCTCGCTTACCGGATTGGAGATTTTGTGCCACGCATACTAAACTAGACTGTAAAGAAGAAGGTGACCTTCAAGAGGTTGAGAAAAGAATTTTTTCTTTTAAGTCGGGAGCAGGTAAAAAATATTTTTGTTTAGTTTACAACATTGTGTAGCAATACATATGAATTTACTTCTGATACATAAATTCTATATTTCTGATACATAAATTAACATTTCTGATACATATTTTATACCTTTAATATATATAATATCAATTAAATGTATGATGTGTAGATTCTACAAGTAATATATTGGTTGCCTTTTGTTATTTTAAAATTTTATGATTGCTAAATTTTTTTTTTATTTGTAGTTGGTGTTTGGTAACATTGCCCCAACAAATGTTGAACAAACAAGGCTTGAATTGCATGATTTTATCCTGGTGTATTAAGATAAAAATGAGATGTATATCGAATCTGGAGTCATGGCTGAAGTTAATCCAAGAGATGATGTTGATGATTTCAACACTCGACCTAAAACAAATGCTAAGAAGCACCCCAAAAATAAACTGGAATCATAACCTATAAACAATGAGAATCCGGATCCACAACCCAGTAACTTGAGTTCAAGCGAGAATGAACTGAAACTTCTGAGAAGTGAAATCAACAAGGTACAATTCTATTTTAGCTTTGAGCAGTTCTGACAACTTAATTGATATTCGGTTTCACTTTTTCTTTTATAGGTAAACGACAAGGTTTCGTCTTTGGAGCAGTTAGTGATTTCATCATTTGAAAAGGTTTTTAAAGCTTTAGGTGAACGCGGTGCTTCAAATGTATTCTTATGACTATGCTTATTTGTTATTTTTACCTATTATTATAATTTTTACAACTTTTGTATATTTTTCCTAAACAGGGTGATAAAAAATATGACGACCATCATGATAGCCATGACCATCATGATAGTGGTGATATTCATAATGATTATTTTGGCGATAAGGAAGTGATAGAGAATAATTTTGGTAGTGAGGAAGTTATGGAGGAAAATATTGGTAGTGAGGAAGTTGTAAAGAAAAATGATGGCACTGAAGTAAGTCTAGATCAAATTGTTGATATTATGGAGGGTGTGGTGAAGGATTCTATAGAAGCTGGTAAAAGTAGTGAAGGAGTTGGTGATGACGAAGCCTGGATTGAGGATGTCGAGCCTGAAATCACTGCAATCACCCAGAAGTTTTGTGACAAAAATAATGTAGACGGTGATAGTGTAGTTAATATTGCAGAAGTTAAGAAAAATACTACTAATATGGGGGGTTTGGTAGAGGATTCTGTACAAGTTGTTGGTAAAAATAGTTGTGAGGAAGTTGGTGAGGATAATGGTTGGACTAGTGATGTTGAGGCTCAAATAACTGCAATCACCCAAAAGTATTTCGATCAAAATATTGTACATGATGATTATTTAGGAGTGGAGAAACAATTTGCTACTATGCAGAAATATCGTATAGTTGTTGTTGATCATGACACACCTGAAATGATCCCTAAAGAAAGGAAACCAACATGGGTCATGAAGTCACCATTCAGGAACACATTTGACTCTGGTGGCACCATCCAAGTTGCTCAAAATAAGCCAACTAAGTCAAAGAAGCTCATCTTGACAAATATGCCAAATAAGTTCATCTTCACTATAAAGTATCCTTTTCAGAAAAATGCTAACAATCCTGTTGATTTCAGAATATTGTATAAGTGGAACACTTTTATCAATAGAGGCTTAAGGACTAATGCATCGTAAATTTTATGTTTCAGTTTTTACTTTTTCTTTTTTTTCCTTGTTTATTTTCGTGTTTCGTATTATGAACCATATCTTTTTATCGTGATTCATCAGTGACGGTGTTTATATAGAGATTAACAATAAGCTAATAAATAAAATCTTTGAATTTGGAGTTGATGATATTGGAGAAAAAAATGGTTCTTCACATTTGCATATCCCGGCCTACCCCTGTGTGATTAAGTAAGTCAACATTATAATGGTTCTTCATATTTTCAGCATATTGATGTTAATTATGTTAGCATAAATGGCATTTCTTTTCTTTTATCTATGTTGTAATTACATATAGATTCTATCTGTAATAAAATGAGAAATGAGACTCGGTAACCCTTGGATAGTAAGCAGAAAAAAGGACTAGAACAATAATAGCAATAGAAAACATAGTATCAACTTGGAAGAGTATCTTTTATGTATATTTACAGTATCTTCTGTAAAATGTATAATCGGTTTATACATAAAATATACATTTTAGTTTTCTCATAATATAATTTCTGACTGTGTGTGTTTATTCTTCATATTTCATCATATCGATGTTATTTTTTACTATTTGAGAAAGAAAGGAAAGTACGGTGTTGATGTTCCAGTAAGATTCACAACTACCGACTGTTGGTTTAACTGCTTGATTTTGAATTTGTACAATGAGTTTTTGGAGAAAAACAGAGACATGAATTTGATTACTGAAACATATCCAATTGCTGAGTATATACTTGGGTATTTTTTAAGTTGTAATGTTCCTTGATGTACTGTTGATGAAGTCATTTTCCCTATAGATATGTCTGATAAGTGGCACTGGATATTGGCGAGACTCTCATTCAAAGATCTGCGCATTTATGTATACGATTCCATGAGTGGCGCACGGCATAATAATGCAGTTCGAAGATCAATTGAGCCATACTCAGTGTTGCTCCCATATTTTCTTCATCGTATTGGGTTTTGGGACACAAAGGAGAATCCTATGGGAATTCCCTCTATTGATCCTTTTGAGATTCATGTCGTTGATGGGTTGCCAACGCAAGATAACACGTAAATTATTATTGAATATTTCTGATTCTTATTCATTTTTATATATGAATTCCTATTTGGATATTATACTAATTTATTCAACGTTTATGTGCGACCTTGTATGTAGTGACTGTGGTGTTTATGTTGTTGCATTTGATGAGTACATTATTCCAGGGAGCAGTATTCCTAAAGCTATTGATATTGATGGGATACGGAACCGAAATGGTATATTACTATGAGATTATGGAGTGAAGAAATAAAGAGCACATGTAGTTACTGATGATGAGTCTACTGGTAGATTGAAGGATCTGACAAAAAAGGATAACAAGAAAAAGGGCAAGTCGCATGCCGTTGGTGATGACAAGGCTTTGAAGGATAACAAGAAAAAGGGCAAGACGCATGTCGTTGGTGATGACGAGACTTTTAAGGATATCAAGAAAAAGGGCAAGTCGTATGTCGTTGGTGATGACGACACTTTGAAGGATATCAAGAAAAAGGGCAAGTTGAAGGGTAAGATGAAGTAGTTTGTGATAGTTTAGCTGAAAATTCACACGTAGTTTTAAGATAAGGTAGTTTGGTTCTGATATTGTCTTATGATTGGATACAGTTGCATACTTATATCACGTTTTATGCTTTTTGTTTGGGATATTTTTGAACAATATGTTTGAAATTCTAATGTTGAATATTACTTTTAATTGTGACTTGTTTGTTTTCAGTTAATAGTGAAATTTTGTAAGTTTCAGATTTTGCGTAGTTTTGACTTTTCTACAGTTTTAGTTTTGTAATTTATACAGTTTTAATCTGTTTCGACAGGTTTTGCAAATTTAGCTGGTGTTGCTAACTTGTTATAGGAAGTTTTGTGAATGAAGTTTTTGGGGCAGCTAAACTGTATATAAATTGTATAGCGACAGTCTATTTTGTATAATTTTTGTATAGTAACATCTATTTTGTATATATTTTGTATAGCAACATCTATTTTGTATAATTTTGTATAGTAACAGTATTTTTTGTATATATTTTGTATAATGGCATCTATTTTGTATAATTTTTGTATAGTAACAGATTATTGTATGTAAATTATTTATACAATAGTGACGGTCGATTCTTTTTTTGTATAAATATACAAATTATATTTTGTATTTTTTTTTATAGTGACAGTCATTTTTTGTATATATTTTGTATAGTGACATCCATTTTGTATATTGTTTTGTATAGCGACAGTTTATTTTGTATATTTTTTGTATAGTGACAGTCTATTGTATATAAACTGTATGGTGACAGTCCTTTTTGTATATTGACATCTATTTTGTATATTGTTTTGTATAGTGACATCCATAATACTATTTGGAATAAAACTTCTACCAATACTTTCATTACGACAAAAAGTAGTATCTTTATTCATACATCAGAGAGAATCTGATTGCAAATCTCATTATTTTTCCAATATTCTAATTGTAACATTCACAAGGAAAATAATTACAAAATACTAAATTAGTGTAGTAACATCTACTAGTTGTCTCAAGCATTCCTGTATGTTCTTTTATAGTGTCTTTGTTTCCACACAGTCCATATGTAACTGTTTATGTATACAAATATTCATAAAGTCCCTTGCATCGCGACTTCGTCGGTCTTCCTGATTTGCCCTTCACTATCGGTGGTAGGACCACATTATCTAACACTTCTGTTGGAAGGTTCCATGTAGTTTCATCTGGAAGTGGATTAACTGGCACTTCACATGTCTTCTTGAAGTATTCTTTGGTGTAATAGGCAAAACAATATTTGGGTGCTTCTACGTGTGTGTAGTCCAATACTGCCATAGCATGTGGACAAGGAATCTCATCCACTTGAAATCGTTTGCACGAGCATTCTCTTTTTTGCATGCAGACTATGTTCAGCCTTTGTTCAGCATCCATTACTACATATACATAATCGGTTGAAGGACTCACCTAAATTTAAATAGATATCATTAGTAAAACAGGGATATGACAAGTATTAATACATTTTTGTCAAAGTATGTTATTCAGGCGTATGAAGTAAGACATGATAAAAGAATATTTACCGTCATCTTCTCCGACAAACTGCTACTTTCCTTCAGTATTTCGTTATAATTTTTTCCTAGGCCAGTAAATGTACTCATTGCAGTCATTCTATTTGTGTTATTCCATTCCATAACCAAATTCATCATGTAATCTAGCAAACTCATGATTGGTAGCTCTCTTGCCTCTCTGTTTCTTGTATTGAGTGAATCGGCAATATTTGAAGTCATCACCATGGATCTATTAACAGTGGAATATGTTATGGACCACTTTTCATAACCAACTTGGAACAAGTAACCCCTTACCCTCTTATCAATGTTGTCCATATCTTGCATGAGGTGATTAAAATCTTCAATTTTGTATGCTCTGGCCATTGCAAAAAATACTTCCCTCAGTCAGTCATGGTTCTTCTTAAACTGCTTCTTTATGTTATTCCAAAGATGGAAGATGCATACACAGTGAGATACCTCTGGATACACAATCGAAGCATCCCTCAATATGCTTGCATGATGATCAGATATGATGCACATCCTTTCCCTTTCCCCAAAAGCATGTCTAAACATTTCAAAAAATCATTCCCACGAAGCATCATTTTCAGAATCGACAACAGCATATGCTAGTGGAAAAACTTTACCTGGTTAAGCAAATAATAAAGCATCCAAAAACTCATTCAGAACCGAAGAATACCGTAAAACCCTAGCCGCCTTAAACAACTGAGGCGATTCTCTATCATGAGCATTGCCATGGCTATTCCGGCTAGCGGCTAGCCTTCTTCAATGGCTGGTCTGCCTTCTAAAAACCCCTCCCTATTCCTAACACCAATACAAACTAACCCAAGCCTTTAGATTATTCAAATATCTTGAAACCAGTCGCGACAAACTCTCCAATATGTGCAAACACCAGTTCGAGCAATAATGTTGACCCAGTACCTCTTCGACGTGCTACTTTTGTGAATGGTCAGCCGATGGTGAAATTCTCAGAAGCTAAAGTGGAATGTATGAATGTAATTGAAGGCTTACATTATGCAGTGGTATGTAAGTTCTCTTATGGTTGGCCTGAGATTCAGGAACTACGTAGAATTATCCCGGCACAATGTGGAATTAAAGGTGAATATAATGTTGGTCTTCTTAGGGATAGGCATATACTGATGCGATTTACTTTAGGGGAAGATTTCATAAATTTTACATCAAAAAGTGTGTACTACGTGAAATCTAGAGATGCATATGAATATCAGTTGAGAACATTAATTTATGAAGCAATATTTAAGGTTGGGGAAGAAACACCAAAGGTCATGGCATGGATTTCTTTCCCAAATTTGCTACCTACTTTCTTTGTTAAAGAATGTTTATTCTCTTTAGCTTCAGCTGTGGGAAGCCATTACATCTTGATATGTCTACTATTAATAAGACTCGACCAAGTTGTGTAAGGGTAAAGGTTCTTATCGATCTGTTATCAGACTTACCAAAGAAAGTGTGTATGGACATTGAGAATGAAGTCACTGTTGAAATTCGAACTGAATAGGTGAAGATTAATTATGATTTCTTACCCCAAGTATTATAAGACATGCAAGTTATAAGGGCATGATAAGTTTAAGTGTTGGCGTCTTCATCCAGAGTTAATGGAAAATAAGGGCAGTGGCAAGAAGGTTGTTAATAACAAGGAGCAAGAGACAAGCAAGAACAAAAGACATGTGATGATTCTTACAAGTGAAAAAATTATAGGAAATATAGGTGAACAATGGAAAGAAGTACGAGATAATCGAGTCAAGAAGACTGCTCACTAGGAACAATACAATATTGGGAAAGAAATTATAACATTTGATGATACAAAAAAACAAGTGTAAGTGTCGAATAAATATGTTGTCCTAAAACTTGAAGAAGGGGAATTGGAATAAAATAACCAGCTGACTTTTGTGGATGATGCTACTGTCATGAGGAGCCCTAGACCTAGTCCCAAAAATACTAAGAAATTAAACCCAGCGGCAAATACCTTTAATCCTACCTCTATAGGGTTTGAAGCACCTAAAGAAGGATTAAATACTACTCATACAGGGACTGGTGTCAAGGAATCTACAACCCAATGGGTCCACAGAGCTTTTGAAGTTCGCAATGTTGTTGCCACTCAATCTTTCCAGGAAATTGCAGCTTAATCTTTGGAAACAAATGTCACACATGAACAAGGAAAGATAAAATGATAGTTTAACTTTCTCTGGAGGTAAACTATGGAGTGAACAAGTTGAGGAGGATCCAGATGAAGGAAAATTCTTTGAAGGTAATGATCAGGTGGATTGAGTGGCAGACATTCAAATTGATGGTGGGAAGCAACTTACCATCAATGAAATAGTTATATCACCAACTAAATCAACAATGAAGCCGAATCAGTGTAATAGTTACGATCTACAATTCATAATGTTACAGAGAATGGTGGGAACTGGAGGTCTAAACTTATGCTGGAGAGACTGCAGTTGAACCAAAACATGCTTTGGTTCCTCATAAAGCATTTGAGATAATGCCATTAGCTTGTGATTCTGGAACTGGACTGCCACTACATAGTCACCTAAACATGCCTCTTATGTCACCTTTAAAAGTCCTCCATGAACTGGTAACACACCATGCTACACCACTGGAGATTCAGCAGGCAACAACTGCTCATGTTAATTGTGGAGAGGGAGGGGATGATGAATCAACAGTTGGAATATTTAAGAAAGTAGCAAGGGAAGAATATTTATCACCCAGAGCTGGTGAGAAGAGTGGTAAAAAGGAAGGAAACAAGGCCAAATCAAAGAAATTCCGCAAGCAAAAAAGATCCTGCCCAAAAGGGCTACGTCACGGATCAAATGATGATCAAGACATTAATCTGGAATATTAGGCCTGTCAATACTCAGCATGCCTTTCCTAGGGTAATCAATATGCAAAGGGAGCACAATTTCTATGTGATATCACTAATGGAGCCTTTCCAGAATTTAGGACATATACAAAGATATAAGAGCATATTGAATATGTAAACTACATTTTCAAATTTGAATGGGAAGATATGGTTGTTCTTCGACGCTGTGGTTGAATGGGAGTTGGTTTCAGGCACTGCTCAACAAGTAACTGTAAGGGTGCTCCACCATGATCTTGGTCAACATATTTTGATGATATTTATGTATACAAAATGCTCATTAGTGGAGAGATTGGAATTATGGGATAGCTTGTATTACTTGGCAAGTGACATGGAATTACCTTGGTTAGTGAGAGGTGACTTTAATATGATATTACATGAAGATGAAAAGATAGGGGGTCATCCTGTATATTCACCTGAATATGAGGACTTTGCTTTTTGTGTAAACTCATGTGGCTTTTTTGATCAAGATTACAAAGGGATCCCATTCACATGGTGAAATGGAAGACCTAATACAGAATGTATTTTTAAGAGATTGGACAGAATTTTTGTCAATTTGCAATTTCAGAATTTATTTTCAACAACTGAAGTGGAGCACTTGATTAGAACTGGATCAGATCATGCACCATTGCTAATGACTTGTGGAGAACAGGGCAGCAAATATGTCAAGCCATTCAGATTTTTAAACTTCTGGACAAAACATGCTACATTCATGGATGTAGTGAGACAGAACTGGAGTTCTGATTTTATTGGAGATCCTTTTTTAATGTTCAAGCACAAATTAAAGAAGGTAAAGGCAGCATTATCTAAATGGAGTAGGGATACTTATGGTGATATTTTTAAGCAGTTGGCAATATTGGAGGTTATTGTTAAAGTAAAGAATATGTTGTTTGAAGAGGAGCCTACAATTGAGAATAGGATTATCCTTCAGAAAGCTCAGTCAGAATTAAAAAGGTACCTAAGCATAGAGGAACAATACTGGAAATAAAAATCTCGAACGACATGGTTTGCCGAGGGGAGATAAGAACACCACATTTTCTCACAACATTGTAATGGAAAGAGGAATAAACTTAGCTTAAAAATAATTCAGAGTGATACTGGAGTCTGGCTAGAAGATCAAGAACATATGGCTTCTGCAGCAGTAGAATTCTACCAAAATTAATTCACAACAAAAGGGGATACTACTAATTTCTCAATGCTGGAAAATGTATAAGATATTGTTTCATTGGAACAGAACTTGGAATTATGTAGATTCCCTACATTGGAAGAGGTCAAAGCTGCAATTTTTGGGTTCAATGGAGACAATGTAAGTGGACCAGATGGTTTTACTGGTTTATTTTATCAACGATGTTGGGAGGTGATCTGTTATGACATTCACAATATGATACTTCATTTATACTCTGGTGCTAGGATGTGATCTCATCCAATTTCACTCCTCTATTTGAGGATATAAACGGTCCATGCAATAATAATACCCAACAGAGTCGGGGTCAAATTCCACTGGGAGCTATGCGAATGCGTGCTAGTAGTATATATCTTAGTGCGTGATATTGTATATCTTGATTTGCACTTTTGGAATATTGGGTTTTGTTTGCAAATCTAACTTAAACTACTATTGCGATTTTAAGAACGAAATTAGAAAATTGTTTTAGGTTATTTTTCAAATGATAAAAAGGCTTAGGGCTATGACCTTGACCTAGGTGTTTGCTTAATGGGTTGTAAGCTTTAAAGCTTATTTTATTGATTGGGGTGTATTATAGATATCAACACTCAAGTGCCCACTCAATACCTCTCAGTCAGAGAGTGATTTTGCCTAATTTGGCTTTCTCAAGTCCAAATGGGTATTGAATAAAGCTGTTGATAATAAGCTCAAGTCGGGTTTTATTATCTCTAGGTTCAACCCTTTAATTGGGCTTATCAATCTCTCAATTGACCCAATTTCTTGCTAGCCAAGTTTTTCTAGACTATGTCTCTCTTTCTCAAGTAGATACCAAGTCAAATAGACATGAAATAATGTTTGCGACCATTAATTCTTCAAATAAATGCAAGAACAAGGCTAGATAATCAACACTCAACCATAAACAAGCAATAAATCAAACACACATTAAGTTTACACACTAGGGTTGGGTCACAAGCCTAGTAAAAATCTAGGTACTCATGCTTAAATTAGAAGAAAAAGAAGAAGAAGTGATAATTAAACCCATAATAATAATAAAGATGATAAAAGTAATATTCAAAAAGCTCAAAATAGCAAAAACTACTAAAAGGAGCAAAGTAAAATGTCTAGAATGGCTGTTGATGTCAAAAGTTGAACTAAAAAGTGAATCTCTTCTATTTATACAGTGCTAGAATTTTCAGACAAAAATGCCCTTCCGGAGGTTCTGTGGCCGCACAATTCCATGTGCGGTCCGCACTTTGCTTCAGCCTGGCAGGAATGGAAACCTGCGACCGCATAATTCTGAATTGCGGTCGCACTTCACTCTTTCTGTCG